TCTAGCCCCAGCCGTGGGCAAAATTTCGGCCCGCGGGCCGGGATCCGGCCCCTTTTGAAATGAAATAAAATTAAAAAAAAAAAAAGCCCGTCCCCTTTTATGTAATGATGTTTTACTTTGAATTTATATTAGTTCACACAAACCCCTCCATCCATGCTTTTGTTTCCGGCCCTCCGGTCCAGTTTAAGAACCCATTGTGGCCCTCGAGTCAAAAAGTTTGCCCACCCCTCCAGCCTGTGTGGACAACTATAGATGCTCCCAATAGTTCCCTGGGGGGGGGGGTGACCATTATCCGCTGCACCCTGAGGCCCTGACTTTCTGCAGAGTGGAGGGGAGGGCACAGGTCCTCCCAGGTTCTGGCAGTGCATTGAGGGAGGGCCGTGTGTGTGTGTGTGTGTGTGTGTGTGTGTGTGTGTGTGTGTGTGTGAGAGAGAGAGAGAGAGAGAGAGAGAGAGAGAGAGAGAGAGAGATTTTGGAGGCACACCCAAGTAGAAGGCACTGTCCACTCTGAACCAAATGATGAGGCAAGGGCCATATAAGTCAGGGCCCCCCAAACAGTCATCCTGTGGCCCTAAGTGTTACCATGCAACCAAGGATGTGGGGGAGAAGGAAGAGGTGGGAAAATGTTATTTACTGGGGCATGTGGGAAAACTGGAGTCAAGCAAATGCCAGTCAAGTTGTGGATGGTCTAGGAACTGTGTCAAAGCATCATTAATCCTCAACCCTGGGCAATGGAGAGAAAATATGTGTTCATGTCTCTACGGTATGTACAAATGCATCTGTAATTTCTCTAAAACAGCGCTGGGCTTGAGGCCCCCTCTGCCATTTACCAATCATGGGACCTTCACCAGGCACACACCTCACTGCGGGTAATGGTTGTTCTGGACCAGCTGTCAGGCAGTTCAGGGCCGGCACCTGCTCAGAGCACAGGAAGGTGCCCTTCCCCTGCACTCCCTCCCAGCGACTGGGAAGAGCGCTTAGCTTCCTTCCCGCTGACCTCCAGCCAGTGAGGCTCCCGGCTGTCTTTGGCTCCAGGGAGCCCTGAATGTGGAGGGACAGCACCAGGACCATGGTGTGTGTGTGTGTGTGTGTGTGTGTGTGTGTGTGTGTGTGTGTTTAGGGGAGGGGGTTGGGGGACAAAGGGGCTTTTTTTGGGAAGGGCTGGCTGGCCAGGCCCTCCCTGGGCTGCTGGCTTGGGAGGGGCCATTCCCCCCCCCCCCCCCCCCAGGGGACCTCCTCCAGCCCAGCCCACCACGGCCAACCTCCAACAGCAGTTTTGTGAAATGTCAGGCAGGAGTGCGGGAACGTGACCAGGGCTGTTTGTCTTCCCCTGGGACAGGTAGGGGAGAAAGCCGCCGCTCCTCGTGGACTGCATTGCGCCGGCCCGCCTGTGGGGTGGTTGCACCCAGTCCCGAGGTCCCCAGGGTGGCGGCCAGGTGAACGCGCCGCCCCAGGGTCTCAACGGCTGCGCTCAGCCGATTCCTCCCGCGCAGAAAGGAGGTGCAGATGCCTGACGCACAGCCCCGCCCCCACTCCGCCCCACCGCGGGGACGCACAGGCCCCCAGCAGGGATACACTTGACCCCCGCCCCCCTCCTACCCTCTTCAGACCCTGGAGACTGAGCGGGGCTCAGTCCTGAAAGCTGGCGATCCTGCAGCTCCGATTGCAGAAAAAAAAGTCTATGTATCGGGCCTATACGCAAGGCAACCCGCGCCTCCTTCGACCAGGCCCAGCCCCACGACGGCGTGGCGGGGAGATTCTCTATGGGAGCCGGGCCGCTGGGTGCGGGAGGGCTCTGACTGCGGTTGTCCGCCGCCTCGGCGCCCCTTCTCGGGGCTCGGGCTCGGAGGAGGAGGGGATCTGGGCGTGAAAGAGTCACTACGATCGCTGCCCGCCCCGCCGATCCCCGGGGGTCCGCCCCGCGAGGGCGGGCGGTGGAGAGTCCCACGGCGGCGGCCCCCACCCCGGCCCCCACCCTCCCCGCTCCCAGCACCTTCGGCCGCACTCGCGCTGCGGGGGAGAATGCGCCTGGAGAGGCCCGCGGAGGCCGGAGGGACTGCCGGTCCTTCCCACGGGTCCCGCCTCGCGTCCCCGCTCTGGGCGCCG